TAGCTTTTCCATCCCACAAAAAATTCCTACAAACAGCCATCACTCCATCAAGCACCTTTTTAAGAAGGATAAACATGTTTGCCCAATAAGTGTGTAAGGACAAGAGAACAGAATTAACAAGCACCACTCTAGCACTATAAGAGAGAGTCCTGCCACCCCAAATTCTGATCCTAGCCACCACCTTATCAATAAGAACATGACAATCATCAGCAGACAACTTTTTGGAATTAACCTTGATCCCCAAGTATCTAAAAGGGAAGGAACCTTCCTTGAAACCGGAGCTATTAATAATAGCATTCTTTGTGACCTGGTCAACATTACAAAAATATACATTGGATTTTCCATCATTAGCAACCAAACCAGAAGTGGCTGTAAAAGTTGCCAGACCTCTCATAAGAAGAGAAGCAGAATTAGCATCACCCCTTGCCATGATAATTAAGTCATCAACAAAAAACAGGTGATTAAGCCTAACTCCCTTACACCTTGGATGAAAAAGAAAGGTTTTATGACCCCCAATCTTAATCATGACTCTAGATAGATAATCCATGCACACCACAAATAACAAAGGAGAGAGGGGATCTCCCTGTCTTAGCCCTTTTTTACCTGGGAAGAACCCTTTTACTTCACCATTAATCCCAAGAGAAAAAGTAGGAGAAGTAACACAAGCCATAATGAGCTTCACAAAGTGAGCAGGAAACTTCAAGGCAACCAACATGTCTTCTAAAAATCTCCAGTTCACAGAATCGTATGCCTTTCTGATATCAACCTTAAACATACAACCAGGAGGAGAATTCTTTCTCTTATATATACCAATAAGATCTTGAACAATGCAAATGTTATGACATATTCTTCTACTTGAGACAAAGCGAGACTGATTTTGAGCAATGATATCAGGCAGAATCCTTTTGAGTCTCAAGCACAGCAGCTTAGTGATAAGCTTATACACCACATTACAACAAGCTGTTGGTCTAAAATTAGTGACTGATTTAGGCTGCTCACACTTAGGAATCAGAACAAGGTTTGTGCAATTTATTTCTTTCAAGAGAATCCCTGTCTCAAAGAATTGCAGAACACCATTAGAAATATCTTCACAAACTATATCCCAACTCATCTTGAAAAAAGAACTATTGAATCCATCAGGCCCAGGAGCCTTGGAACCAGGGATGCTAAACATAGCCTTCTTTATTTCCTCTCTAGTAACTGGAGCCTGAAGAATATTGTGATGATTCTCCTGAATTAAAGGACCAAGGGCAATAATATAATGATCAACTGTCCCAGTACAATCCTGAGTTGTGCCTAACAACCATTTATAGTACTCTATAAAAGCATCAGCCACTGAGCATCTATCAAGACACCAGTTACCTCTCATATCTTTAACAGAGATGACTCTTCTCTTATAATTCTTCATTTTTATACTCTGATGGAAAAATCTAGTATTTTCATCTCCCACTTTTAACCAATTCATCTTCCTTTTTTGCTGCAAAAATGAAAAGTAATCTTTCCTAAGCTGAGCATAAACAGCTAGTAACTCAACTTCTTTCTTCTGAACTGCAATATTGCTATAGTCATTTTGAATCTTCTTCTGACAAGCAATTACTTCCTCCTTGATGCTAAAAAACGAGCCCCAATTTCAGAATATTCAGCTCTATTCAATCTTTTCAGAACAGTTTTAACCTCTCTGAGCTTCTTGACAACCTTTAACATCTATTTCCCTGTAACATTAATATTCCAGGCTTGCTTGATTAACTCACCATAAGCAGGATTACTACTCCACATATCAAAGAATTTAAATGGCCTAGGACCAGTCCTAACTTCCTCTTCAAAACAGATGATAGCTGGACAGTGATCAAACCACATCTCAGAGTTATAGTGAACAAAAGAACCAGAAAAACTAGTCACCCACTCAGAGTTGACCATAGTTCTATCTTTTTTTTATAGACTGTAGCTTCACCATCCTGTTTATTAGTCCAAGTAAACTTTGCACCAATTTGAGTCATATCTTGCAAATCACAATACTCAGCGCATTCTCTAAAGGGTAACATCTCAGAGTTGCTGATTCTTTTGCCTATTTTGTCATCTATATTCAAAGGACAGTTAAAGTCCCCAGAAATCAACCAAGGACCCTTACATTGATCTGCAATTCTCCTTAACTGATCCCACAAAATTACCCTTTCTTTGGCATCATTATCCTCATATACAAAAGAACACTCAAAGGTTTTCTGTAAAGTTTTGTTAACAATCTTAGTGTGAATTATCTGAGGGCAATTATAGATAAATCCACACTAAAAAAAATCATGAAGCCAAGCGACCAAAATTCTGCCACCCTTCACAGTACTAAAATTCGAAGTAACACACCATCTAGAGAACATTCTCAAATACACTTCACCAAACTTTCCACTAGAAATCTTATTCTCAACTAAGAAGCAAAGACCAATATGATTACTATTCAAATAGTTCTTGATCTCAAGCTGCTTCATAGGGCTATTCAAGCCCCTAACATTCCAAACAAGAGCTTTATCCATATCCCAAGCTAGGAGTCTGACCTCCCCCTTGAGTACGAATCTCAACAGGAACCCTTCCAATCACAACATGAGAAGTGTCCTCCCCTCCAAGAACTGCAAAAGAATTTTGCACAACAACTCCTTCATAAACAGGCGAAGCTCTAGTAATTGGGCTCATTCTTCTCTCATTCCCAGTTGGGGTATACACCGGATCATCATTACCCAAAACATTATCTCCAGGAACAAATTCCTTGTCAAACTCCTTCAAAACAAGATTATTAGGTTCAACAATAGCCTCCTTCACCTTCTCATCATTTGTATCTTCTTTTTCCTCCAATTTTCTTCACCTTTTTGTTCGGACACAAGTCAGTTCTATGTCCCACCCCACCACATTCATTACAAAGGATAGGTTTCCATTCCCAGGTAATATCCTGCTGAAATAAGTCACCCCTTTCATCATAGAACTCAATATGGTCAGGAAACTGTTGCTTGATATCAACCTCAACCAAATACCTCACATAAGAAACTGTCTCCCTAGTATGTGTAGCATTATCAGAATGAATAGGCTCCCCAATCAATCCCACAATCTTCTCAAGGCATCCTTTCCCCCAATACTTCAAAGGCAACCCTTGAAGTTGCACCCACACTGGGAATTTAGTAAGATCCTTAACATTCAATTCCATGCCATCCTCCCATTGTTTTAAGCAGACAGGTTTCTTATCCATTAGCAATGTCCAATTAGCTAAAGCTTTCTCCCTGGTTTTAATGTTCAAAAATCTAATAAAAAACACCCCCCCTCTTTAAAGGAATCACCTTATCAATATTCGATTTCCCCCAAATTCTCCAACAGAATCCTTCAAACACCTTAATATGAGGACTAGCAGCTAAGGTAAATGCTACTACCCCCAATTTCCAATAATCCAGTTCCTCCGCAATATCATCCATAGACAATTTTACACAGGTTTATCAAATTGATCATGCATGGGTTAATTATCAATATCATCCAACAATTTTGAAGTATTATCAACTGGAAAGAAAGCTTCAACAGGATCAGGGTTAGGAATTACCTGAACTCCCGATGCTCTGTTTTTCGACCCCTTAGACCCAGATTCAATCGACTTCAAATTCGACATCCATTCAGAAATTTTAGATTTCTCTCTCGATCTATTGATCAATTCTTCCATAGATTGTTCAGGAGAAAGCATACACCTATCCAATTCATCCTCCATATCAAAAACAAGAGGAATTTGACCTACATCACCTCAAGCTTTTGTCTTCTGAGTTCTAGCATACAATCCCAGAGAATCCTTAGCATTAGAGTTCTTTCCATCAATGGCAATAACCTTCTGAGCACTCTGCTTACCCTTCTTCTTCCTCGCCATGGCAGAGAAAAACGAGAGATAAAGAGAGTCTACAAAAAAAGATTAATGATGAACCTAATCTTTATTTAACGCAAGATACTATGTGGAATTGATTAATTAACTAAAATATATTCCTGAAAAATTAATGAAAGGAAAAGTAATTTCCGACCTTTCTGGCACAACATCCAATTCAAACAAGTTATGCAGAAACTACTCATCTTCCAAATGATGATTTTCTCATGACACAAGATGACAAATGGGTAATGTACTTCGACGGTGCGTCCAATCAAAAAGGATGTGGCGTAGGAGTGTTACTCATAAGTCCAAAGGGGGCACATACTGCAATCTCTGTTAAATTAGACTTTGAGGTTACTAATAATGTCGTAGAATGAGAAGCGTGCATTATTGGATTTGAAGCAGCAGCTAGCATAGGTGTGCAAAAATTAGAGGTATATGGAGACTCCAGTTTGATTATAAATCATATATTAAGAAAATGGAAAATAAAAAACTAACTAATGCATAATTAACCTTAAGTAACACCCAAAAAGTGATACATAAAGTGGTAAAAGTATTATTGTAGACAATAGGTAACACTTTTGTGGGTGATACATCCGCCCATGTTACCTAAGGTCTTATGTAACACTTTGGGTAATGTATGGTAACACTTTTGAAAGTATTACTATAAACTCTCTTATGTAACATTTTTTTTATAGATTTAGTATCATTTTTAAAATGTTACATTTTATTTCTTAGGTAACACTTACTTACCTTTAGTACATTTATAATCATATAGTAACACTTTATCCAACATTTTGTATCACTTTTTCAAGCTAATGTATCACCGTCTTGATAATTTGGTAATATTTTTCAATCATCTTTTGACATATAGTAATACTTTATCCGACATTATGTATCACTTTTTGCAAACTAATTTAATAATAATAATAATAATAATAATAATAATAATAATAATAATAATAATTATTATTATTATTATTATTATTATTATTATTATTATTATTTTATTATTATTATTTAAAATATGCAACATTTTATTAATCTAAATACAAAAATAATATTAACATGTACAACAACCACGAATTTGAAAATAACATATACAATTGACAATAATTTGAATTGATATAATTTTATAGCATCTTAAAAAATGCCATAAACACCAAATTTTTTTATTGACTTAACAATCCAATGAACAAAACAAAAATAAAGTCAACTTCGGTCTCTAGATTAGACCAACAAATTCCTAAAGAGAAAAAAGCGAAATTAATGGCCAATAGGAGCAGCTAGCAGTAATAACCGATTGCAGCAGCTGGCAGTAATAGCAGCCAGCGGTAGCAACATTAGGTAGCAGCAACTTGGAGTAACAATAGTCAGCACTCCGTAGTACCAGGCCAGCAGACTACAGTAGCAGCCAATAGCAGTGAGCCAGTGATATTAACAGGCATCAGCAACAACAGTAGACATCTGTAACAGCAGAAACAGTAATAGTGACATTGGTTGCTACATGCTATGCAAGCATGTTTCTTGTGGCCTGTACCATAACAGAAGTTTTTGTTCCCATCGTCTCTTAACTTCCAATGCTTTATCTCATGGTTCTCACTCCCCTACTCATAAATGGAAGAGCATCCGTAAATAAAATGAGAATTGAAAAAAGTAGTAAACTGATAGTCTAAGAGTAAAATAATGCTTCTTATATCTGCCTTATTACAAATTTTTTTTGAAACACTCTACTCTCTTACATAGCATAAAGTAAATTGTAGACATTCTGGGGAAAATATGCTTAATAGCCCGTTTCTAATATATTAGCCAATTAAAATAGAATATATAATACATCTGAATTAAATAAAGCAACTTTGTCATCAAACTATAGTAGCAGCAACTTTTGTAAGAAACTGAAAATTAAATCTATGTACCAATAATAAAAGGAAAGGGAAAGCAAAACTACCAATAATTCCTACAACTATCTAATTATTAGCCATGTATCACAATTTTGGCCTCACCCAAAGATAAATTAGCATATAATTCACAATTTTGGCCTCACCCAAAACCTTACTACCCAATTTCGCTCATAGAATCCAATTCTGCAGCTACTTGAAGAAAAGGGATTAATTGCACTTAAACAACACCAATAAAACTCATCAGAATCCCAATTTCTAAAACAATGCTCAATAATTTAAATAGCAAGCAGAAAAATTCAAGAAACATAAAATAGCTAGTAAAAAAGCATTGAAGGTTAGATTAAGCTTACATTTTATTAGGATCAGCACTAGTGTAATCAGAGTAGGTATCAAAACCTATACAACATTCAAATCAGCAGAGTCAAATATTCATCACCCAACTTGTTCAAAGCAAGAATTAGAATGATCAGTCAAACAACTTTAAAAATCAGGAAGAAAAAGTATACATAAGGGGAGGGCCATGAAATTACCTCTCGATTAACAACATAAAATGGAGAAATTACGACAAACTATATCTTGCCAAATATCCCTCGAACTACAAGCAATAATCAATCAAGAAAGTAAGTAATAAGAAAGAAGAAGACGAGACGGAAGACAAACAATTTTACATACAAATATAATTTATTTGATGTGTATATAAAACAAGATACACAAATTAGTTTCTGATCAGTACATTTTTAACCCACCACAATGGCAATATAATCTAGATATACACACTAATCCAAGTTGCAACTTCAGGATCGGAAAAACAACAAATAAAAAAAATCAATTTGGAATAACACTTAAGATGTTCTAAATTAAAACCATCAGCTAAATTGATTGGGCTACACTACTTTTTTTAATCAAAGAAAGAGCTTATATTACATAAGGATGATAAAAATAAAAAAAAATAAAAAAAAAAATCCTATAACCTAAAGTTTTGAGGCAAAAACAGCCAGGCTGAATACCATGAAGCATAAATGAAAAATTTGTTGTCATGGCACCCAAGAGTGGATTAGCCCACATCAAAAGCTGAAAATAAAACCGAAAGTAAAGATAAAACATAAAGCTTAAGGTGCATAACTTGATTGCAATAAGAGCAAAGCAGGCAACAGCCAAATTAAAAGACAAGGAGTCAATAGTAGAATCAACAGGTTCAAGGCAAGTTCCGCAGTTCATCACACTAACCAATAAATGCAGCGCAATTTCTGAGCTGCCAACCTGCCATCACTCTAAATCGAGTTTACACTTCCCAAACAAAATTTATAAAATACATAATTTATTGTACAGCGATCATCAAATCGAACATTGTAGTGAAAAAACCCTAATTTATGAAATTGAAGAAAAAAAATAAGCAGAAATTGGGGGAAATACCTGCAAAAATGGGCGGACTGTGTCGGCACTCTATCGAACAGCGATCTCGAGGAATTTGGAGACCATGACCTGCTTATCGGAAGGAGATATAATGTCCTCTATTGATTTCGAGCTTCGTTGTCAATGGCGAATGAAAATCAATGAAAAGATTGATTGGGTTAATTACTGAGAAGCAAGTGAGAGGGTGGTAGCGGTGGAAGCCGAGGTAAGGAGGTACAGCATAAAGAGATGGTGAAAACTTAATTGAGGGATCCATGGAGAAATACAAGGGGGAAGAAATTTGTGAGGACGCGAGGTTGTGACACTGTGACTCTGTGAGGGTCGATTTTGATTAAAAAAAAATAGAGCATATCAAATTAAGTGGTTTTTTTAAATAAATAAAAAAATAATTTTTAAATGTTACAACCAAGTGTTACCTAATATCAGAGTGTTACAATAAAGTGTTACCTAATTTTAGAGTGATACAAAAAATGTTACCTAATACTATAATGTTACAAAAGTGTTACGTAAAAATCAAACAATCATGAAATTTTTAAAGTGTTACCAATGGGTGTTACTTAAGCTCAGTTTTGTAGTAGTGACTCCACAATGATATTATACCAAGCACACCTAGAGCAGTTCATCGAGCATTTTGAACATATTGATTTTAAATATCTCCCAAGGGATGACAATCAATTTGCCGATGCGCTAGCAAAATTAGCCTCAATGATCAACATTCCAAATCACTTAAATATGATGCCATTATGCGTTGATAGAAGAGAAGAACCAGCGCATTGCAACGCAATAGAGGAAATAAATGACATTGAAGGAGACAATCCTTGGTATGATCATATCCTCCAATATATTACGCATGGCACATATCCTGAAAATACTTCATCGAAAGATCAACGAGCCTTATGAACACTTGCGGCCCAATATGGTCTAATAAATGGTCAATTATGGAAAAAAGGACCTAATGGTCAAAGTTTACTATGTATAGGCCAACCGAAAGCCACACACCTTATGGAAAATACTCAAAAAGGTGTTTGTGGACCTCACATGAATGGTAAAATGCTTTCAAAATTAATTTCACGACAAGGGTACTATTGGTCCACTATGGAACATGATTACATACAATATGTAAAAAAATGCCCACAGTGCCAAATGTTCGCCAATTTACAACACCTTCCACCATCCGAACTATACAATCTCACTTCCCCTTGGCCTTTTTCGACTTGGGGAATTGACATAATTGGAAAAGTCTCTCCAATAGGATCAGGAGGGCACGAGTATGTATTAGTTGCCATTGATTACTTTACTAAGTGGATTGAGGCTACTTCTTACGTGAATATCACTTCTAAACATGTCGCAAAGTTTCTTGAACGAAACATATTATTTAGATATGGAGTTCCACATGAACTAATTAGTGATCAGGGATCTCAATTCAAAGCTGAAGTCGAGACCCTCTTAACTCGTTATAAAGTAAAACATCATCACTCATTTCCATACACACCTCAAATGAATGGAGCTTTAGAGTCGGTAAATAAAAATATAACAGTCATCATTAAGAAAATGACAGAAAATTACAAAGGCTGGCCAAATAAACTACACTTCGCATTATAGGGTTATAGAACGTCTATACGGACATCAATAGGAGTAACTCCATACTCCTTAGTTTTCGGAATGGACGCAGTTCAACCAGTCGAACTGGAAATACCATCCTACACATCGTACTTGACAGTAAGCTACTGGAAGCTGAATGGGTAAGAGCGAGGTATGAAGAACTTTTATTCCTCAATGAACGATGGTTAAGAGCTTTGCATCATGTACAAGTCTACCAAAGGCGCATTGCGCATCATTTCAATAAAAGAGTAAAACCTAGAAATATAAAAGAAGGTGACTTTGTAATAAAGGAGGTTAGGGGTCCACCAACCGATCCAAGAAGGAAATTCAAACCTTATTGAATAGGTCCCTACCGCGTAATTGTAATCCTATCAGGAGGAGCCGTCAGATTAATGGATATTGGAGGAGATGAAATTCGCCAATTAATAAACATTGATCGCCTTATGAAATATTACATATGAAATCCGGATAAAACTCGTTCACTCATACAACCATTTTTATTTAAGCATTCAATTGAAAGATTCTAAGTGTTATGCATTTTATCAAATAACACGATAAAATACATAACACTTGGGGGGGGGGGTAATTTAGAAATAAAAAAGCGCTCTAAGTGTTCAAATTTTTTTCGAACATCACAAAAAAATTCTTCACACTTGGGGTAGGGGGGTAACAATACAATTTTTTTAAGAAAATTTTTTCGAGACATTCGTAGCACAGGTGTCACGCGCAACTAGAAAAGTTGCGCGCGTATGTCACGCGCAATTGATTTTTTTGCGCGCGACAGGCTCGCGCAACTCTAGAAGTTGCGCGCGACACCTGATGACACACTGCATACCCAAATTTTTGGCGTTTGAATGAAGTTGCGATTTTAACTTACAGTAAAATAAGGGTGTTTCTTAAATATAACATATACTCGGAAAATAAAATTAAATTTTGATTTAATTCTTTTAAACAAGGTTTGATTAATTTTTTCATTTAATGTCTATCTAAGAGATTAAAGAAAAAAATACATAATAATATAAAAAAATAGAACTATGCAAAGACCTGATTTCGTAATGCGAATACGTAGGCAATATTTATGATTCGGTCATATCAAAATATAAAAATATAAAGCTCATTTTATTTCATTCAAAATTCAAAAGAGAGACATTATTGAACTAGATAGTAAACGAAAAGAAAACATAGTAGTGATTATACTATATTCGAAAAAAAAACTAATGATAAAATTGTGTAACACTCTAAGGTTTTACTATGTCCTCGATTGTCACAGATGATGGAGGAGTAGTTTCCATCGCAGCATTCTCAACAACCTTGGAGCTTTCCCCTACACTCTTCTTCTTCACCCAAACATTGTTTTTCAATTTAGGGGTTGGGGCCTTTGCAACCTGTTTTCCTTTCCCTTTGACTATTGGAGCTTTCTTGCAAGTATTTGGTGAAGGTTCTTTGATCTTCACACCTTGTTGCACAGGTTTAGAGGGAGCTTTCCTTTTTGTTTCCTTCGAACGAGCCTTAGGAGATGAGATGTCTAATTTTCTTCTCACTCCATTGTTTTGGCCACTCGGAGGAGTAGTAGTGGTTGAATGCATCAAAGGCTTAGGAGGATTGCGAGCGGTGGCCGCTTGGAGTTGAGATCTAGCCTTGTTTAATTTACCCTTAGCCGCCGCATTCATCCAAGCTTTGTAAAAGGAAGATAATGTGATACTCGTAGGAGGATTTTGTATTACCCACCTTGGAAGACTTGACCAATATTCCATCCAACGAGCAATCCTTTCGGGTTTAAAAGGTCACATCTTTAGGGGCATCACAATCTTGCGGAGGAATAAATTGCCTCATCCCATATTGTCTCATCACCCTACAAGGAAAAATATAAGTAGTACCTGATAGGCCTAAAAGCCTAATGTAAGGGCAATTGAGACTATTCCCAATCATGCTATTTATGTTCCACCAAGGAATCACAAACCGTATGTTAGGAACTCCATGACAGAAAAACGTCGTCCATTCTTTTTCATTCTTATGCTTATAAAGGATTCGACGTCCAGGAATGTCTTTACTCCATTACCCTCAAGGTTTTGAGGCTGATCAACAATTTGCAAACACTCCATGAGCCAAATATGAAAAAAAAGAAAAAAAAATTAGTTTACGATTTATTACACAAACTGGTGGCGCGCGCAACTAAACCAGTTGCGCGCACCCTCTGTGCGCAACTCAGAAGATTGCGCTAGTCATGCCAGCGCAACTTTTTAACTTGAGCTGATAAACGCCGAAAAAAAAACATATGTGTAGTAGGAGTGGATTTCCCGTGAAACTATTTTTATTAGGATCTCCTCTAAGGCAATTCAAGCACAAAACGGTTTCCACCAAAACCAAAGGAGAGGGTGAATGGCATCCCTCTATTTTCTCTACTATGGACACCATCGAATAATCTTAGTATTCTTTGCCTGTCCTAAGTAAACAATTAACAACAAGACAATAACATAAATCACGAATTTTAAAGCATTGTTTAGTCATGTTTTCATGAGGGGCAACGAAGTGTTCAATAAATTGAATTAAGTCCATGCCTTCTTCAGTTCCTATGTTGGTCATATCATTGTCGGACAAACCAAAAAATCTTTGGAATATAGGTTTGGGATCCGACAAGGTTGGCAAAATCTTTGTAGGGAAACCTAGCAAGGCCTCGAACTCACCAGGAAAGGGGACAATTTCGTCCCCTCTAAACAAGAAAAGATGGTGGTTAGAGTCCCAATGGTTGACTTCGGCATGAAGAAAATCAAAGTTAACCACTAGTTGCATATAATTCAACAAAGGGTCTAAGTGGTAAATTTTAAAAGCTAGTTTGTCCACGGTTGAAAGGGAGGTGACCCATTGCTTCAAACATTGTTCAAAGGTCTTCACCATTGTTCAAATAAAAAGAGAGAGAATAAGATTTTAGAGAGATTAATTCTTTTTAATTTCTTATGTTACTAAACGAATAAATGCGCGATGATCAAAAGCCTACACGAAACCACGTTTAAATAGAACCAAGAGGGGAAAATTTTCGGCAAATTCGACTTAAAGGAAAGTTCACTGACAGGTGGCGCGCGCAACAGAATTACATGCGCGGGACAGCCGCGCGCAACTCACTAAGTTGCGCGCGTCTCCCCTGGCGCGGCATGTAAGATTGGTTAATTTTCGTATTTTGGCTCATATAATGACGGAATCTTCACGAGATTTTAAGCCGAATCATACGCTTGCCTTCTAACACTTTGTGTCCCTTTTCTTGCCTACTTTCTTATTTTCTTTTTATTTTCTTTTATTTTCTTTTATTTTCTTTTTATTTTTTTTCCTTAGTATTTTCCTACTTTCTTTTTCTTTTTATTTTCCTACCTCTTTATTTTCTTTATTTATTTATTTATTTTCTTTTTTTTCCCTTCTTCTTTTTTCGAGTTTGTTTATTTTTTTGAGGGGGGTAAGCCGGGAACCCTTTCCCTCCCTCGGAAATTTTTCGCATTAATGTACACATGGAAACGAAAAAAAAAATAATGACATATATACACATGTGTCATATATACAAAAAAAAATACAAAAAATATATATACATAAGTTTCCTATAAAAGAAAAACATATAATAAATGTGTATAAAAGGAATCAGGGTGCTCGGCGACTACTAGATTGTTGCTGCACATCCTGCAAAATGCAAAACGAAGATTAATACATACAATATAATAACTTCGTTGCAAAAACA